TTTGAACACCTATTTTCACATACTCACTCTGGGTCTGCAAGTTTTTTTTTCTTTACCTCCATGTACTCATTTATTTAACTTTTTGTAGTGTGCTTTCAGATAATTGTTGCACTTCATTTCTAGGATACTTATTTAGTATACTTAAATAGGTGTCAATCATAATCAATTTTTTAAAAGGAAATGTTGACTATACTTATCACGATCATGGAAACTGAAACAGTAATCAAAAATCTCCCAAAAACAAAAACCCAAGGCCAGGTAAATTTTATTAAACATTTAAAGAAAAAAAAAAATTCCATCATACTCTAATTACTTCTGAAAGTTTAAGAAGGGATACTGCTCCCTACTATGTGTCCTGTTGTCAGCATTTTCATAATTTATAATGTCAAGGTATGAAACAATAAAGAAAAGGAAAAACAGAAATAGGAACTTATTGCTATCTACTCTCTATAATATTCCAGTATTTTTTAAAATTGTTTGGAACTGTCCTCATTAAAGAGGTTACTTTTTCTCTTTGTGATGAACTCATAGTAGTATACTTTCTCCTTAGGATGCACTGTTCTGTACGCACCCTTATAATCTTGGCTTGCTGGTGTTATATCTTTGTTCTTTGCTTTTTCTTCTAAGGGCATCAGTTTATGCCCCTGTCCTTAGTTTTCCATGGATGGAATTTACTCCTGTTGGTTCATAAGAAAGAATAGGGAAAAGAAAATAGTAGTAGAAACCAAAATTCAGTTTGAAAATAGACTTAGAATATATAATAAAACACATAATTATGTCTAACATGCTAAGATGTAGTTGACATACACTTTCTTGAACTTTAATATAACCTTCTTCTTACCTCTAGGAAGACCAATTTTAAGGTTTAAGGTTAAGGAGGGAAGTCATTGATACAAGAAACTTGCCATTTAGCTGTAGTTTTGAAGGGTCATTGTAGCTGTCTTGGGTGGAAAGTGGGAAATGGCACATCTGAAGCTACAAGACTCCCACATAACCATATGCTGTTGGCAACTGGAGTGTCTTATAAAACCAGCACCAGTCTGTGTTCTCATGAGCACATAAACACCTCTCTCTGGTTTAGTACTTTAACATTTGTAAATTATTTTATAAGACACTTAATCAGAACTTTTTTTAAAGATTTATTTTTATTTTTTATTCATTCAAGAACTATGGTGTAGGCCAGAGGTATGGGGAGGTGGGGATGAGAGGATTCATCAGAGATAGAGTAGGGGACAGAACAGACAGATTGACTGAAACACACTGTTGAGGGGAGCAGTGGGTGAGACAGGAAAGGTATGCTGTGCCATGTGGGTTAGCTGCCTGTCTAGAGATTGAACTCGTGATAGCTTCATAGTGCTGAGACTTAATTAACCCCAAGCCACCAGGAAGGCCTCTTAATCACAAGTTTAAGAAGAGTAAAGTTTATTATTGTTTATTTTCTTACATTATTGTTATTTTTTGGATAATAGTTGAATTCTCACCTCAGGTGCTGTCCCTGTAGTTCTCCCACCACTGTAATACCCATGAAATGTCACATTAGTCCTTGTGTTCTTCCTTACCCTGTTTTGACCCTTCTCCTACTCCATTCTTTGCTGTGTTCCTCAGATTTATGGCCAACATGGAAGATTTTTCTTTTTCCTCACCCTTTCTTCATTTTCTCTGTGTTCCACATGTAAGTGAAACCATTTGATACTTATTTTTTCCTTCTGATTTTCTTTGTCTAGCATAACCCCTTCTGGCTCCATCCATATTACTGCAAATATCATGAGCTCATTTTTTTTAATCGTTCAGTAGCATTCCATTGTGTGTCTATACCACATTTTCTTAATCAATTCATCTCTCTGGGGGCATTTAAGTTATTTCCATATATTAGCTATAGTTAACAGTGTAATATAGGAATGTAAATTTCTTTTAGAATTAGTATTTTGTGTCCTTTGGGTCGATTACTAGGTGTGGAATCACTGGGTCATATGGCAGATCCATTGTTTGTATAAACAATTAATAATTAAGAAACTAATTGGATTCTGCTTTTTTTTTTTTTTTTCAGGTGTATGGTTGCTGATGAAGTAAGTATTTTCATGATTTTTATGCCTTTTATAAAATTCTACAACCGATTTTTAGTAACTACTGTTTTACTATGTGCTCTTTATCTTGCCATATAACTTTATGTCTGTATATGGAGAGAGGACAGGGAAGACAGGGATGGAGTACCAAAAGACTAAAAACAAGAATGTGTATATCTGTACATGTTCCAGCTTGTGTGTGTGTAGATTAGCATGCACACATTCACACACATGCTGTGTGCACTTAAAACATATGTTAGTATTAGCTTTAGTTATCCAGAATTCTATTTTTGTTGGCCAAGAAAACATGACTATGCTCTGAATTATAGCCTTTGATGAAACTGAACTCTTTTTTCACTCTCATAATATGTCATAGTGCTGCTTTATATAAAAGCTAAAATTTACAGATTTTTCTGTAAAGGTTTTTGTTAGTTGCTTCATGTAAGTATGAAACATGATGCTAAAATGGTATTATCACTAAACATTTTGACATATATAAGTGACATAATCTTGCATATATATCCATATTTATGTGTTTTCACTGAAATAAGGCTTATGCTTAGGAACTTTGATACTATTTACATATATTTTCACAGTAATGTAAATCAATAAGGTTCTGATCTTAATATCAGTTTAAGAAATTGGTGGCGGTGATATCTTTAATAATAGCAGAGAACATACATTTTAAAATATATTTGGATATAAGGAAAATTGATGTTGAAATTTAAAAAAATTTTCAGTGGAACCATAAAAAATCTTCCCAGTTAACTCTTTCTGTTTCAGTTAAATGTCACTTCACCAATGACTTATTCCACATTCTATTCCTAAGGAAAAAAATAAATATTGAATATAATATGAATGGAAATGTCGTAGCAAAGATTGATAATGTGTTTCTTAGTCACTGCTGATTTATAACCAGATAATTTTTTAGGTTCTACTTTTTATTCTGTGGGCCTTTGTTTAGAATAGATGTTAGAATTAGAAACATGGTCATTACCTGGAAAACTCTAACAATGTAATTGAAGACATAGGTCATACACATTTGGGAAACAAAAGAAATTTCTGCTTTGGAACAGAATGAATTTCAGAAGACTTCATAAGTTAAGTTCAAAGTAATGGAAAGAGGTTTTTGTTTTTAGTCACTGAATGTTTTCAACAAATGTAAACTCTTCCTTCAAAATCTTAAAACTAGTTATAATCATTTTATAATATATATTTAAAATATGTGTGATACATGTAGGTGTATGTGAGTATCAAAATTATTTTTCCAGACCTGTTTATATTCCAAGAAAACATTTGCAAAGGATAACACCATCTTAATAAGCTTTACAAGAAATTCATGGGGAAGATCCTCCCCACTTTCAGACACAGAGATTTGAATAGACCTTAAATGTATGGAATTAATCAGGGATTGAAATAAATATTCGTTCAGCACCTTAATCCTTCTTAACTTTTATTTTCTCCAGTAAACCCTTGTCTCCTCCTTAGTTACCATTAGACTAAGAATTATATAGAGCTTTTAGGCTCCCAAGAGTGTTTATACCAGTTGCTTTTCCTCATCTATAATTATTTCCAGTTGCTTTGTAACTTGTCACGTTTAGTGATTTATTATCTTCTTTCAAAGCCATTCTTATTTTTTAAATTTAAAGAAAGCATTTAATATTTCTTCAGTATTTATAAACAAAACTCTGCTTTTGTGTCCATCATATTCACTTCTCAATTTTCACCAGCATTTTAAGTACTCTGATTCACATCTTTTTGACTTTACAGCATTTACTATGTTAAATCTTACAAATCATTATAACTGAGAGGAAAACTTAACTTTAGTATTAAAAACAGGCTATAGAAGTAAACAGAATGATGTGGAATTCTAAGATCATAGCTCACAGTCACTAGCAACCTCTGTTGAAATGGTAAAGTTGAAATGCCATTCTTAGTAATTTCTGAGCTAGGGTGAATGAAAGTTAGTAAATTAAAAGTGTTGAAGTAGAAAGAACTTGTATATGTATAAATGATAAAAACTGGTTTGACCTTCGTTTTATTTCCTAATTGTGCCCTACTTCTCTTGCTCTTACTACAAAATGGTAGTGAAGAGGGAAGAGATGGCAGTTTATACTTTGGAGGTCATCTACCTTTTGAATTAAATTAAAATATACTTTGATGTGACAAATATTTAATTCCTTAAATAGTTAAAGGCCCTAAAGCAATTTTACATCTCTCATATTGAGCCTACTTTTTTTTTTAAGATGCTTGAATACCCAGACTATTGTGTAATTTAGCTGTCTGCTATGATTTTTTCTTCCCTAGTTTTAGAAACAAGTGTCTTCCTTCCCTGCTATTACTCCCCCTTCTTCTGTTACTTTTCCATATTATCTTTTTCTAATTTGCTCCATCTTTGTGGAATTATATAGGCTACTGTATATCTGATAATTAGTAACTGAAACATTAACTTTAAATCATTAACATCACTATGATTATTTAGGTTCTGTTTAATTCTTTATAATTGAGTGATCATTTTGTGTTTTAGTTATAAAATTATATTTCAGGTAACCAACAGAGCTGCAACTTTTAATAAAATTAACTTTGCAAGCCTAGCTTAAATTATTTTAATTACTCCTTCACCCATCCTATTGGTTTAATATAATTAAATGTTTAAAGAACTAAGCAATAAAAATTTAGACTTTTTTTGTGAATTTATCCTCCTCAATGGGATTCAAACCACAATGTATAATCAGGCTTTTGTACTATTACCTTAGATGTGTTTTAATAATTATTATTCAACTACTGTGTCCTCATTCTGTTGTCCTTCAGTTGAATATTTTCAGTGCTTTTAAAAGTCTGTAACTGTGAAAGTAGTTTAACATTAATATAAACCAGATAATTGAATTGAATATACATTGGGGGAAAATAGTAAACCTATACACTTGTAATTTATGAAGTGTTTGAAAGCTAGTTTCTTTGTAGAAACTTAGTTTTTAGAAAAGCTTGTAATATTTTTAATTAAGAGGGTGGGATTAACATTCTATATTTATATGAATAGTCATAGATAAAATTTTGTTCATCCATGTGTTCTGTCCTCTCGAATTGTTGGGGAGAAAGGATGTCTGAACAAACTCCACAAATAGGTTTCATGGACCCCACCCCTACCCTAGACCAAAGAGGTTTTTTTTTTAGATTTCTTTACTTATGCAAACAGAACTGGGGTACAGGCCAGAGATGCAAGAGTGGGAAGAGAATTCAACAGACACAGAACAGACAGATCCACAAAGCAGCAGGTAGGTCAGGAGAGGTCTGAGGGGAGCAGCGGGCTCATCTGGTGAGGTCTGTCATGCCATGTGAGCCACCTCCCTGACCAGGGATGGAACTCGTGATGAAGCTGCTGCGACAAGCTTTGTGGTGCTGTGCTTTAACCTGTTGTGCCACCAGGGAGGGTTCAGACTAAAGAGATTTAAGACACCAAGGAGTACAAATCCGTAATTGAAATCCCATCATCACTGACAGGTGGTTGGCTGGGACCTGACAGTGGAGTTAGGCAGCCAGGTTTGGTATATGACTGGACATATGGGTGTTGGGGGAGGTGGGGGGCTTGGTTTTTTGCTGTCTTTCAGTGCATTATTGGGGTTCCAGCTTAGTGGAATTGGTAGGACTAATTCACCGATTTATATCTTTCTCCCTGAGTTACTCATTTATTGATTCATTTACCTTTTTTTTTTGTAAATAAATCCTTTATTACCCTTTTTGTGTGTACCTGCAGTTAAGTCTCCTTGTAAGTCCCCTTTCAGTATAGGTGAGGACAGTCAAGCCAACCCATTTCACACTGGGGTTGCCCTATAACACTATCTATATATAATATCTATTAACAAAATCAGAAAATCCCAACTATCCTCTTATGTAACATTTTTTGTTTTACTGTTTTATCCTCCCCCACCCTCAACCCCATACTATTTTTCTTTAGTTTCCTTCTTATTTTTTGAGGAAATTTGGGCTAGGGGTGGGGGGGGTGTTATATACCAAAGAAAGTTTTTCTTCCTTTTTCTAAACAAATTATCAAGACAGATGTTTGACTTTGCTTTCTTTGTGGCTGTTATATTCACTGATAAATATTTGGAACACAGGTTCTATAGTCTAATTTATTATTGTTAAAACTTTGGAGGGGAAAAGCTGTATACATGTTTAGTGTATAGGAGTTTGGAGGGGAGAAGCTGTATACATGTTTAGTGTTCTTAGTAGTACTATGGCAGGCTGAAATGAAGTTTGAAAATTTGTCAGTTTCTATGCAAACAGCAATGTGTAGGTGTCTGAAAACACTAAAGAAACCTGTTAAAAGGTTATTTCCACTCAGGGGACCTTAAAATTGTGATATAGACTCTGCCAAAATTGTGACATAGACTCTGCCAATGTTAACTTTATAGGTTTAAAAACTAAGACAATAAACTAGACACAAGAACTTTAGTTTTCCTGTTGTATAAAGCCTTCTACCTCCACAAAATGAACTGAAGGGGCAGTTTTTATTCTATTGATATTTACTTCTTGTCCACTTTTGTAACATGAATGGACAGATTAAATGATCAGCACAGCATATGTCAGGTTCTGCTCTATTGCTTTACATGTATTAATATATATCATCCTCACATCAGTCTTATTGGATGTTGATGATGTCAATGATATCTTACTTTACAGATGAGAAAACTAGGACACAGTTTAAATTGATTGCCCCAAGAACATGGAACTAATAGAACCTGATATTTGACCAGAAGTGATCTCACTCCCATACCTTGCATCAGTTATTATTCTATACAAAGTCTCCATATTAGGAAAGAAATAGGGTTCTTTCCTACTAAAAAATATGCAAGACATTTCTTCAATGAAACTGAATTTTAGAATGATGGAAATGGCATTAAAATTTTATGCTGGTGGGGCTATAACTATTCCTTTAAATAAGTGTCATTTTGCCTGTTTTATTTCTTTAATTTCTAAGGCTAGATTTATTATTTTTTTTAAGA